CTGCTGCTGCTGCTGTTGCTTTTGCCGCCACTGCTGCTACCTGCACGGCTGACAGCATTAGCTGTTCTTTGATATGCTGGGATAAGAGCTTGGGGCACGATTAGGTCCGAGAGAATGGAAACATAGACGGTTTATGATAGGCTTTTTGCCGCTTTTGGATGATGTTTCGTGCCTTTCGTTCTGGTTGCAACCTGAGTTGCTGGGCTGCATTGATGTTTCCGCAGTGTCCTCATTCACACCACTCTCCCTCGACATTCGTTCGTGCCTCCTTCTACAACAGGGATGTTTGCAAGCTGCTACTGCTCCGAAGGCAGGACATCCGAAATTCAAGCACTCTCAAGCTGCGATGTGTAGCAACGAAGATGCCTGACAATCTCAGGTCATGGTCAGCGAGAACCACTATCGCAGAAGTTGGCGATTGACTTCGGTCCGCAGGCACCGTTCTTTTGCCGAGAATGTTTTGACAGAGTCGCCCCATGTGCGCCTGTACGTCCCGACTCGACGAAAAACGCAGCGACATTGTCAGCAACGCGAATAGCATGTGTACTTGTTGCCGGGTGCAGCCCACGTCGAGGTTTGTTGTTGTTCCTACCAGCCGCGCTTGCTCTCGCTTCCAAAAGCCAAGGGCCGTTATTGTTATTCGCCCTCCTACACAATTGAAGTGAACCTTGGGCTTTGAGGTTGTCTCTGTCCTCAGATTGGTGAGAAAGCCTAGTTTTCGGAACGAGCATATAACTGACATGGGTTTATCACGGAGAAACTGTTCAAAAGGACGCGGGCAGTTGTTTCAGGATACCTCTTCAGGCTGTCAGAAGCGCTTGGTCCAAAGGTGCATGGGTTCATGCATGGTTTAAGGTTTTTGCCTAGAAAGACTCACCTGGCCAGGCTTCGCAATGTCGCTTGCTTCATGGAGTGGGTCAGCTGCCTTGGCCTTTCATTGTTGGCAGTAAGACTCAGTAAGATCCATTTAGCATTGAGGTTGTAGCTTCAGTCCGCTTCTGTGTAGTTGCGCCTTGTGCGGGACCTCGATTTCACACCGGAATTCAACGTGGGGAAGCCTTACGATGCCTTCACCAACATCTAATCTCAAAGCTCTATATATACGCACATGTACATATGTATATATATATATATATATACATATATATATATATACATATATATATATATATTTACTTAGTTAGTTATTTGTTTATTTAGCTTTTAGGCATTATAAAGCTGGCCACGCTTCGTTCATGTTTTGACAGGTACCTTCTGTTCGGAGACTGAAGCGGTTTTCTGCCGGCGCCACAGATTTCACCACAGATCAACCCCATCTATGCTTATTCCACATATTCCGGATGTCAAGTTACGCTGATTCAAACAAAAATCGAATGTAGCCGTTGAGATCCTTATGGGGTAGACCCCGCAAACCTGAACTGCTTCAGCTGCTAAACGCCTGAGTGCAATTGCGACGTGGTTGAGGCTTCTCAGTTTCCGGCACGGCGCGCTTGGAAACACTTGAAGTCGCATGTAGAATGGTGCCCAGGTGTCCCCATCGGCGCTGTCGCAAGAGCAACGCTTTCGCTTGCGCTGGGGGCCTCGGCAATTGTGGGACAGGAGCAGCGAATTTCAGCAAATGCAGGAATGCTGGGCTGCGATGAATCCGCCTGGAAAAGAGCAATCAAAAGCTGCACCCTGGGCTTCTGTGCCGAGGCGAGGCCTTGGAGTTGTGCTGCGGCAGCCGAGAAGATTGCACCTGTACTCAAACGAGATGTGCTGTGGGTGTTTGGCCCGTAGGTGTCATGCCGTGAAGCTTGATTCTGAATTCTGCAAATTTCAGACTAAAGTCTGGGCACGCGGGGACGCGGGGGGCCGGGACCCTGAAGCCAGGAACCATTCACTATGATTACCGGAAGAGCATCTGCAATTGCACGGCAGACTGGTGTAAGAAATGACGGCGTCGCCGTGTGTCTCGTCAGCTCGTTTCGCTTGAAATGTCGAGTGTCGGCCAGTTAGATGTGCCGCATGGTAAGTTGTGCAAACTCTTCATGTTCAAAGTGTTCGCTGGAAGTAAGGCTCCGCGGGTTTCGGCCAAGAGGAGGCCGTGCGATTGCATTTTAAGTGCTTTCTGTCCGGGCCACGGCCTGAAAGATTGCGGCAAGTCTCTCCAAGGGGCAAATCTTGTCATAGTCATAGTCACGGCGCAGCCAAGTTGTTGGCCAGGTCCGTGCGATTTGCGAAGTGTTAGACCTCGTCGACGAGGGCGAAGCATACATCGTGCTGGCCTTGGCGGCATTGAGAGCTAGCTCGAGGACATGGGTTTGACTTTTATTTCTCTGATGTTATCAGAACATGGCCTCAGCACATGACATAAGTCCGTGACGATCTGCTAGATTCCGACATCAGGGCAACGCGCTGCAGCCCCTGCTCAAAAAAAGCCCTAAAACCGCCACTCCAAAGCTCAGACATCTCTGACCTCAGGCACAAATGTCCACAGGTAGCTCTGGCCTTGGTGGCTCACCCATGCTCCACTGTGCTGAAGCGAGCTTGGACGGCATGTTGCAACAGTTCGAAGGCTTCTAGCGCAGACAAGTACCGACTGAATCTGCAGTCTGGCTCAGGTCGGGTGACCCTTGGCGAGCTGGAGCAGGCTTTGGGCACCCAGGAGTTCTTCCGCATGCAGCAGGCCGGGAGAGTCGCGGTGGCGGCAGAAAGAAGGGAAGCCCTTGACAAGCCTGCTCGTCAGGGGCGCTTCTTCGTGGCCCTCGGATTGGCTGAGGCAGAGCATCTCCGCGGTGCTCTGTGCACGGCCTCGGTCTTCAAGTACCGTGCCGAAGACACCTGCCATCTTCCCATCTTCCTGCAGACTGCCAAGGCACCTCATAGCGGGGCAGAGCTGGTGGCAAGACTGCTGCGTGGCATTGAGGTGCCTTGGCCCTGCTTGTCCTGGCACGAGCATGACATACAGAGCTGAGGGCTTCTTTGTTCATCAATAACAGGATATATATATATATATGTATGTACGTAGGCTATGTGTATAAAGATGTGGGTATTACATGCACCTGCATACTGTTCTTTCAGGTGCCACATAGATCCGTCCGTCTACTTACCTACCTACCTACCTACCTACCTACCTACCTACCTATCTACCTACCCAACTACCTACCTATGTGTCGATGAATGTCTATCTCTATCTCTGTCTCCATTTCTATCTCCATCTGTATCTAGACCTAGACCCAAATCTACACGCCTGTATCTATATGTAAGCTTTAGATTTTTATCTTCCACAAGTGCGCAGTTGCGCGTGTGCCATTTGGGTCTGTGCACTCGCTCTGCAAGCAGGCCGACTTTGGCGTCGGCCAGGGTGTGGACTGTCAACCCGTCACGAACTGCGCAGGTGCATCCAGTGCAAGGAGTCGGTGAACGAGTCGCTGCTGGATTTTGTCGGTCCAGTTCGGGAGAGTGTGATGCCCAGTCAGTCGAAGGAAGTCTTGGCTTGCTACTCACATGCCGATGGGTTGGGCCGCTTCTCTTCATAAGTTCACTCCGCCTTTGCGACGTGCAGGCACCCACAACCCCTTAGTCAGAAAACATGTGCACCACCAAGCTCAGCAAGACCTACATTGTAGATCACGCTGCACAACCTAGTTTGCGGCATGATGAGGTTCGGAGCTGGGCTTTCAGCTGCAGGCCTACATGCGCAGGTTCTGTCCAGATTTTCAAAATACAAAGGCCAAGCTGATTTGTGGATTACATGCTTAATTAATGACTACGTGAGACGGCGGTCAAACTTCATAATCCCCCTAAAATATTGCATCCTATGAGCTAGTGCATGGGAGGTTTCAAGCTCAAGCAGACAGAGTTCAGGAAGTCTGTACAAGATGCAAAAGAAGCATTTCAGTTGCAGCGCGGAGGTGCTTAGGTTAAAGGCTGCGTCCTGCTGCAGACTGTTCAGGCGTGCAGGCGCATCCTTTTTTCAGTTAGTCGTAAAAATGCAGCAAGCAGCGACTGCAGTTTGCAATGCTTCAGCTGCTGTGTCCATATGAGTCCAAAGTCCAGCTCAGACCTGAGCTACCTTATCCAGCTAATGTTCGAGCGGCCCGTGTTGTAAGCTCCCGTTTGAGCTCTCTTATCTGAAGGCAGCGGAACAGCTCTTGCGTTTCTTGGACAGTGCAGAGGACTTCCAGGCTTGTTCTTGCTTGCATGGTTAACGACGAGAGAAGACGGACCACCATGGGGAGAGTGGGGGAATCGGAAGCAGAAGCTGGTGAAAAAGGGTACCATGACAACATACACTGATAACGAGTGATAAGCAGCAGCAGCAGCAGCAACAGCAGCAGCAGCAGCATCATCTGTGCATGACTGGTGCCGCTACTCGCATTTCAACTCTGGTTGTAGCGATAATCTTGAATACCACATGAGTCGCGATAATCTTGAGTACCATGAGTCATCGTTCTTTTACGAGGTAGACCGTAGACCCCTGCCTGGCATACTGCTCGGCGGCCACGTTCCCGTCTAGCAGGGAAGGAAGTAGACGTTGGGAGCAAGTTCTGAATCTTTCGGATTTGGGGATTGGGGACACCCTGCTGTTTCAGTGATAATGCAAGGAGCGTGCTGGGTACTGTGCCATCCGCGGCGCCTTCATCAGTTGAAAGCCGCTTCTAGCAAACTCCCCGGTGGCAGGCAAGGGAAGTCAGTGTCCTACTCCGATCACTGCAGCTCACCCGGACGCAGGAGCCGCCAGTTCGGTCGTATCACAAGGGTCACCTGTCCTGTTGTTGCCTCTGCACTCCCAGGACCGCCTCCCTTGGTGGCTAGATGTTCGCGCATGCCGGCGCCGAGCTCACAGGCCAGAGTTCAGTTGGACTATTCCTGCTTCTTGCTCATAGCACACGGTCTTCGAGGGTCGCTGCGCTGGGAACGATGACATGTCCAAGACACAAGTCGCATCATGCCAGTCTTTGCCAGCAGGTCGTTGTCGCGAACAGTGAGCAAAAAGTCTGTTTCTGTTCCGTGGACAGGCACTGGCAACGCCTGGCAGTATCGAAAATCTTCTTGCAGACTGACGAGTTCGAAGATTGGGCTACCAAGGCGTTTTGCCTTAGCTGAACTCCCCAAAACTCCTGTCAAAGCGAGAAGTTGCAGCTTCGGAAGTGCTGCCGAGAGAGCCCAATCCTGCAGATCCCATGATGAGCACACCTGAACCCAAGCACCCACAGGCAGTAGAAAGGACAGTCAGAGCAGAATGGTCGCCAAGAGCCATCGGTGTATGTTTTACATAGCTCCAACAGTGTAGAAAGGCTTCTGCGATAAAGTGGTAAATGTGGTGATGAGTTGGGCAAGGGGTGTGTGTTACATAGGGTGTCACCGCGCGGAGAAGAGGCCTGCATGTCGATGTCCTGCAGGCCCTTCTTCTACGGCTTCGCTGGACGTTGGCAGCGCAGCGGCTTTGGCCCAGCGATGCTTTTCGCTTCATGGACCCCCTTCAACAGACTTATTGCCATGCCTGCAGCGAGTGTGTGAGTCGAAAATCGAGCCAGAAACCACGCCAGGATTGTCCGAGTTGTGAGTGTTGAAAACCGAAGTTTGCCGGGCGATCTTAGGGTCTTAGGGCATGAAACATGAGTCAACACCGATGAACTGTTGAGCGCCTGGTGCACGCTTGATCATCCTTTACTTCGCGGAGGGATTTTCTGGACTGCCGACATTGGCTTTAGACCTGAGATGGCTGGAGTCCGGAGAAGAGCCACGGAGCTGTTGGTTGTCCTCTTGGATGTGTCAGCTTCAGATGATGCGAGAAGCTTGTCATACTTTGTCATTGGGTGCACTGGTGCATCGATAGCCTCTCGTTCCGAACCCAACAAAAGCTGCCGAGCCATATTCACCACTAGAGATGCGGTTTGCCGAATCATCCTCGGAAACAGTCTACATGCAAGCTCATTCATCAACTCAGCGATGTTTGAGGACGCCTCCAACAACGGCTGCCTCCAGAGACGTGATCTGTCTGCAGGTGCGATTGCCAGACATGCATGGATCACGTTATCGATTATCGTGTTCACGCTTTCGTTTCGGATGCAGAGTGGGACTGCTCCAATACGGGTGCAATCAGGGGGTCGTGAATCTCTTGCGGATTGCCGGGTCCAGCTACTCGAAGACTCCAGCTAGAGGCTCCCCGTGTGCCCTTGCTTGCACCCTGTGCCAGGCCTTGAGAGCTTCGGGGCCAGGAGCCCGTTCTGAGGCCTGGGACCCCCGACTTCGTTTGCCCAAAGCCGTGCGAGGTTCGAAGTGAGGGGCTCCATGACGCTCGCTGGGCACAGCAAGTTGCAAATTTGCAGGGCTCCCAGATCTTACGGCTTAAATGCTTTGTGATGCCCTGTCTTTTCTCGGTTCGGTCGCCTAAACAGATTCTGGACGGCACGTCGGAATGCTGGATTGTCTAAATGCTTGGATTCATCGGCAGAGTCGGCAGACTCATTGGGCAGTGAAGCTGTGGTGTCCCCGATAGAGTTTCTGAGCAATGCATGACCCTGTTGCTGTCATGTCCATGATGTCCATGCTGATTTTGATATGGAGGGCTCGGCATCTCGGCGCTTTCAGACCCACTTGGATAGTTAAATGTGGAAGTCGGCACACGTCTTCCACAGCATTGCCGTCTAAATTTTCTGTTCGCCACGTGTGCCAGCATGCAAGAAAGTAGCAGTAGCGTCTTTGTCCATGCTTCATTTCGAAGTTAGCACATGCGGAACGTGTACTACTGAGTTTGTAGGGCTTGCCTTGCCTGCCCAGCGCCTGCGCATGGAACGAATGTAGCTTTGCCAGGTTCCGCTGGATTGCGCAAGAGGGGCGAGAGGTGGGACCTGGCCTAAACTCGAGACCTCTACTTCTCGACGTAAGACTACGGCACTCGGCTCCAACAGTCTTTGGCCTAGTCAGCAGGACAGCTTCGACGGTAACATGTGTCGCCCGTCTTTGTTCTGGTTCTTCGTTGCTCCACCATTTGACTTTTTGATGTTACGAAGTTTACTATGTCACGATTTGCTGTGAAGAGGTCCTCTTTCTGGAAGACTTCCGTGCTGCCCTGGAGCTACATGACACGACTCCGGAGGCAAAGCCCTTTGCTGGGTCCACTGCAGGCTAAGCAGGGCCCAATCTCGATCCGTTGCCAGGGTCACCAAAGCTTCTCGGCTGCAGCTTCCCCCGCCTCGCGAGCCTCGCCAGCCTCGGTGCAAAAGTCCCTTGGGTCCGGGCCTCAGCGGCCTCAGGGCCTGAAGCAGAGGCGAGGCAAGTCTTCTACTTGTAGCTGAAGTGGGGAAACTGAAAGGCCAGAGGCGAAGGAGACTGCATCTACAAAGCCCCAGCGACAGGCCAGGAGCAAGGGTTTAGTGGAATTGAAGCTTCCGAAGCAAGCTCCACATCAAAAGGCCGACCAAGCCTTAAGAGGCCTCGAAGCTCTTTCTGCCAAACCCTGTTTCGGGTTTAGGGTTTAATTAGTACATGTGAAGAACCTGCTAGGTCCTTGTA